TTGCCGTGCAGTTTATCCATATAAGATGGCATCGCATGTACAATGTACAAGATGAAAAGGTGAAATTAAATTTGTGCGAAAGAATTTTTTAAAAGACACCGCGCAAATATGTGTCAGTATTGTAGGAAATAGGCGTGCTATGGAAATATAAAACACATATTATTATGGGCACCTTTATATTATTATGCACAGTAAAAAACTGTAAATCATTGGCCGATCTCGTGAGATTTGCGGCTATCGTGGCCGAATAATGGATGAAATCAACCAGCCGTAAACAATAATCCTTTACAGCTATATAAGAACGAGTATATTACGTATTTTTTTCGCTGTCCGATGCATCTGACGTCTGTCCGGTCGTTGTAAGAACATTTATTTTTTCACGCCCTCTGAAAATTGTACAATCCGCTACGTATAGAACAAATACCACAACTATACGCTTATACTAATACAAATATAATATTTATATTGTATATCACAATATTATTTTTAGGCAAACGTTTTTTTGACGTGGAGACTGAAAGTGATCTCTCTAGTATCGAGTAAAACTAACCTGTTAACTTTGTATGGAGTACAAATTAAGAAAAAAACTTACATAGTATGCAGCAGAGATTTAAATCAAAAGACTGTTGGTATTTCATATGATTAAATTATATTCATATAATTCAATGCATTCTAGCAAAACTATAAGAAAATAAACAAGCATTTAGAGGATTACAAGTATGAAAGAAATAGTTGTTAAGAACAATCGAATAGACAGTAATCATAATATTGGTAATGATTTAATTTTCAATATCGTTTTGAGCTAAAAAGTTTAGCACAGGAATACAACATGTTGGAGGCTATACCGAAAATTCAAAATGCAATGGATAAGCAGGAATTTATCATCGAAAAAATATATAATAAAGAACTAAAAAATATAAAATTAGGCGTGACATCAGTTAAAACCGATTTGAACACTTCCATAGCTAGTTTCAACGACCTTAGAACTCAGATGACGTCCATAGAAAGTAATATTATAATACATCAACCTTTCCTAGTACCTACTATTTTTGCATTTAACTTTCATTCGGGAAACACCGAAAAGTCGAAAAACCCCAATAGGAAGTTCGACATATTGAAGACTCGGATCTCAATCCAAGAAAATAAATAGGAAAATATCAGATAGGTACAATTACATAATGTGTGAGTGTGCAGGAAAAGTGCCGAAAAACTCTTCCCAAATAATTGCAATGGATCATTCGTTTCGGACATTATTTATGACAAGACAGAACTTAAGCGTAGGGGCCGCTGTAACGTTAGCGAAAGACAACCGTTTAGACCCAAACTTACTCTGACAGGGTTGTCACCGGTACACACGGTTCCGAGGCCATCAACTCCTCCACCTACCTCGGTAACCTCATGTTTTGGGTCACCACCGTCACCTTCGCCGCACTCGACGATAACTACCGGTACGACGGCATTGAGGATCAAGATCCAGGAGACGGCGGCAGGTTTCTCTCTGGTAGCCGAGTCTGACAGAAAGGCGCCAATAAAGTACTGTCGCACACCAATAACAGAGGATATACTAAATCTCGTCCTGCTGAAGCCGATAAATAAAATAAATATTCATAAATCCTACATTACTTCTCCACTTACGTGTCCATGGGGTAGTTTTGTCTCCGCATAGGTGGACGGTAACTCATGATTGAAATAAAAGCGATGAATCCTATCATGAACGACGTACGATGAATTCAACGAAGTTTAAACATTTATAACCAAAGATCTCGATTGAGCGGTTTCTACAACATTTCGAACCAGGTTTTTCAACTTCTCACTATGATCGCATCATATTTTTATTTCGTTGGTGTTTTTGTGAACAAATTAGTTTAAATAACTACCTACTGATAATTTTATAAATATAATAAGTGATTTAATTTTAAATTATGATTGTATTTAAAGACACTTTTAATTGCAAAAGACATGTTTTGATTCTCAACTTTTAGTGCATCAACTTAGATATACGTAATTTTTTAAGGTATTAAAAGTAAAATGTGTACGCGATACCAATTTTTGACAAAATCAATATTCTTAATTTGTTTTTATTAAAATAACCGTAGATACTTTTAAGTTTCATCAAATATTTGTATTAGCATTCTATAGATATGGTTGCAAAATGATCAATATTTTTTGCTTCTCCTCGTGTCCGCTGACCACCTTCACGTCAAGTACGACTTTTTTCTGTTTTTTTCGTTGTGGTATTGCCCTAAGAGGATGAACTGTTTGCATAATACTTACCCCCGAGTAATATCGTTTATTTAACTGTTGAAATTAGCTTAATCTATTAAATCACTGTACAGTATTCTCCGTTCCTGATTATATTTTTTCCTCTAATAACTAACTATCGAAACTAATAGGTTATAATGTTTATAACAAAATAAAAAGTAAAATACTAAACTATTTTTATTCGACGTGAACAAAAAAAGCTCTAAAATATTAAAATTATTAAATTGCCATTAAATCTATCGGAACATTTCTCTAGATAAACTCAAGTCTCTACGTATAATATCATATCACACACAGAGTGTGTACATCGGTTTAAGTATATAGTATTCTAGTGGAGTGTGTAGGTGTTTAGAAGGGAATGTGTTATTATATAGGTATATACAAACCGTGTATTGTGATATCTGTTATACGCCCATATCCGGGGCTCAACCAGGGTGTCAACCCCCCCCCCCCCTTGAGCCGTATAAAATAATATACCAACTATAATATAGGGGTATTTATTTAATCCAGGCGATATATTATAGATGTATACATTGCAATAATTACATAATATATTATATTCAACTATTAACGATTTAATGTTAATTTTACGTTATGACAACTAAATATGACGAACTCAGCTATAAGGAACGAAGTACACGGGGACCCCACCGTGAAAAAAATGTCCAGTCGCGCTACTGGCCCATTTAGAGCGCTATTGTCATCGGGCGGTCGAATACAAATAGTGATTGTTCAGCGATTTACGAGTAACAGTATAACGTTTAGAAGAAAGTTTGGGATGCACAATACACATTATATTATTATTATTGTATATAATATGTATACAGCCCCCGACGTGCCGCCGTGCTGGGTGAAGAGAAACAGTGTCGGGATTTAGATCATCCCGCGACAGTGAAACGCGATAATTGTTATAAAACGACGTAATGACTGCGACGATATACACGCGCCAGTGCGTTTCCCACCGACGCCATGTGACGGCAATACTTATGCGTAGATAAAACAACATCATCTGCGACGTCTTGTTATAAGCCGCATGTGCCTCGTCGTCGTCGTCACTGGGTCAACGCGAGTATACGAGATCACGACACAGCGCGATATTTTCACGTTAATTAGAAGAAAAAAAAAACTAACCTAGCCGACGGCGACAAAATGATATGTGGACACGGATGATGAGAACGGGAAAATGATATGTCGTATTCTCATATTTTATATAGGTGAAACAATTTTGTAAGAACCAAATATCGCGGGAGAGTACCTATGTTATAGCTGGTATATACAATAAAAGTTAAGACATTTTTAAAATATCATACGTTGTGCCCGCAGCAGCAGCACGAAATGTGGCCCACACGTTGTAGTAGGTTCGCCTAAGCGCACACGAAACTATCATGTTATGGTTATATGACTAATGAGTAATGACCCACCTCATCACGGGGTGTTTATACGAGTAAATAAGTAAAATATATAATAATAGCAACGTATAGAATTATATATTGATATCTAGTGTGTGAAAACGGATATGATATTATAATTATTCATAATGATAAACCCCGATCATATTAATTATATAGAGACGCCTGTGGTGGATTCAAGAGGAGCCTAGGGGCCCCGGCCCCCTTGACAATTATATTATATCTGTAGTTGTAATACTATTAGTAATATGTAATAATTATTATTATAAATGATAAATTAATGAATAATATTAATTACAAATTAAATTATATTGTAAGAAAAATTTAAGTTATACTTATAAAATTAATACGAGCAATCCCCCCCCCCACGCCACCGCAAAAAAATATCCGATATTCGCCACTGATTGAGTGGCCCGAGAGTTTCCTCCCTAACATATTTTACTTCCATCTATAACTGATCCTTATTTAATACAATATGTAAATAGGGTTAAATATATTTTGTAGAAAATAATAATAATTTCATAATGCATTTTAATTTTTAAATATTTCTAATATTTAAGTAAAGACCATTGAATATAATTTTTTATAGAAATAGAAAAATCCATTATAAGTTTAATTGTTTTAAGTAGTTCTTCTTAAAAACAGTGCACACAGTACACCCAATCGTTTCACATACATTTTAGTGTCTTATTTTGACGATACCATCTATCGGATATTTGAATGAATATATTAACGATCAATAATTCCATTACCAAAAAAAAAAATAGCTTTACGTAACCCACCGCTGAATTCTATCTTGATCACTATGTAGGTATTGTTGTTAGGTCAGCTAATTGCGCTGGAAAAACTCACGGTTATGGCCTTATGGTTGTAGTATACACCGGCAGTTTTCCAAAAACAATTATCTCGATACTTCGATTGTGACACGGGGTGGGGGGGGCTGGAATAAAACCTGCAGGGCACGATGTGAATAATATGCGATGCTGCAGACGAATGTAAGTTTTTAAGAAAACAAAGTGAAGGAAAGGTAGAAAAAAATTGCAAGCCATCATTATTGTTATATTATAATTTATACCTAACCTACCTATTACTATGGAAAACGCGCCGTTGTAAAGTTAAACGCAAAACTCTCAACCCCGAAAACGAAATTAATGAATCCTTAATATCCTACTTGCAGGCACGATATTATCGTTATTGCAATTATTCGTCTGTACCTACCTGTAGCCCCTCTCCAACTGCGTAATCGTCTTCGTCTTCGTCGGCGGCGGTGGCGGCGGCAGCAACTGCGGCGGCCGATCCGGAGGATATATACGTACAGTTCATCCGTCCGTCCGTCCACAGAACACGCCACAGTGCTGTTGTGTCGCTGGTCCGATATACATATTTTTTCCGGCCGCATAAACGGAGGAAGTTGAAAAAAAATATAATATATTTACAGTCGACATAATTTTATATTATATTAAACGCTCGAGAGGAGAGGAAGCCAGTGCCCGGTTTTCAGCGAGATAGATTCGAGATCGTTCCTTTTTCCGCGGGCAAGCAGGACTCTCACGATCCTCGATCTCTCTTCGTACGTAAGTGTTTGTTTCGTATTATTATTATTTGTATTTGTATTAAACAGCCGACTCGCCTACACATCACAGGGTGTGCTTGCGTCTACAATAAAATTCTATATCTGGTAATCCGTGATTCTGGTCAGCAGATCATCACTATATTATATTATAATTTTGTTTTTTTAAATTTTTTTAAACATTTGAAACTTTTTAGTGGCGGGTAAAAATGTATGGATATTTTCTGACAATAGGAAAAATAATGGTTATCCTTATCAGTATTTAAACTTCAACTACTAATAACTATTTTTATTGTTCGTATATTAGTCACTACTTCTTGTAGTTTTGTAAATAGGTACTAGCCTGCAATTAACTAATGTAGGTACTTTTAAAATTTGCGAAAAATAATAAATATTAAATGTATTAAAATATTCTAAACACAAATAATAATCATGTAATACTGTATATAGGTGTATACTATATAATACAAACCAAACTTAACGCTATAATAGTGGAGATCTAATGTTTTCCAGGTAAAATAAAATTATTAATCTTATAGGATTTATTTCTAAGTTATTATCAAGTTGTAATTGAATAAGGTTGCATAATTTTAATATCTATATTTCTATATTGTATTATGATGTTCATTAATGTCGATTTAGTTTTTTGAATTCAAAAATTATTTTCTGTTGTAAACTCGATTACCTTATACAAAGCATACAATTAATACCGTCGCTAAATACAAAACGTGATCAATTTAACTAGGTATAAATGTAACTGACCGTTCGATTAAGAAAATTGAATACCGGACAAACACTTTTGTTTGGATTTATATGGGCACGTAAAATAAACAAAATTGAACTAGGTCGCAGTTATATCAATAGAGGCTATTAAAATCAGAGATTTATCTGAATACGCAAGAATCGTTAGAATACTATTGGTAATATATTAAACCATCACGACGACATTTTAGTTTTTAAAATTAAATTTGACCGAGTTTTACTTGTTTACTTCCGTTAGTTTAAATACACACAATGTTTCCGTTTTACCGATGTAGTGAGAAAACCTAACCATTACGAGGAAACATAAGGTCGTCGTGGACCGCTAGAGTCACTAATTGATTGTATCAGTTGTAATAATTACTGTTCACAGCTATTGTCTTTAAAAATGTTTACAGTACCGATTAAGTATGTTAATAAACGAAATTTAAACTCGTTGTTCGAGACGACTGGCGATCGAAATAGATCGCATTATTCTTAGAAAACAGGTAATAATTTATACAACCATATTATTGTATTCAAAATGTGAAGACCTGATGAATGATTACGAACGTGTATGCCTATACTTACTTATTATTCGAATTAATATAATACCAGGAGTGGTCAGGACGGTCAGGTATTCCAAGCGTAACAATCTCAATCAAATGATTCATACATGTCAAATTTCCATCACAACATAATATTATATTAACGTGTTTCTTTTGTCCGACAAACTACATGATCTGTTCACATAACGGAAACGGATTCGATTAAATTATTATAGCCTATAGTGTGTTATTAATGTGTGAAAACGTATTACCTAGCTATACATACGTCTTATAGACATGAATACAAGATTACTTAAAAATGTCATACATTTTATTTTCTCTATTATTAATGTTCTAAAACTATCATGTATCTATACGTTGTTCTCCCATAATTTCGAAAGTGTCAGAGTTAATTTTTTCGGCAGACACACTTCGAGTCATTAATACAATTTTTGTTTAGACCGTTACGGTTACACTTATATAGACCGTGTAGCAAACATGGATTCAAACTTGAAAATTTGGATATCCACCACCATATAAGGCATAAATATAATATATTAGTTTATATAGACAAAAATCTTTACATTTAAGAACGCAGTTTATGATGTGATCAATTTTCAACAATGATAAGTGGACACACGTTTGATAGTTGATAATTATTAACATTTTATTTTCATGATAATATAATTTTACCAACTTAGTAAGATAATTTGCTAATTAAAAATGATATTCTTAATATCTTTATAATACTTCTATCTGAGCCCTCCATACTCGGGTTATACAATAATTATTATAGAGTTTATTTATGTTGAGTTTTGAAGAGTTCTCTCAACTTGTAGAATAACTTATAAATGTTATAATTACCCATTTAAAGTTATAATTTAACTCAACTACCCAAGTAATGCGTTTTTCTATTTAAAAAATATTTAATTTTCAACTATACTGAACCAGATTCTTTATTAAGTTTTAATATTTACTGTAATATTCCAATGAAACTTTCTACATAATTTGAACGAATAGCTATAATGTTTTATGGGATAAACTTAATATAAAATATGATATATGTATATCGAATCATATTGTAAAGGATAATACATTATCATATGTTCACATTAACAATGAGGCTGTCCATAATACTTCATACATATTATACGATACATATACAAGCATATAAATATATGTTTCTCGACTGAATTCTTCTGGGTGGTCTACAAATGATTTAGAAATATATGTCAAGAATAACTTAACCAGCAAAACTTATTCGATAAGTGGCGTGAATCTAATTTGTGCACTTTCGGAATAATCATTTGTAATATTATATTTTAATACAAGTGAAGACAGAAAAAAGAAAATAAGTGACTAATCCAGGAAAAATCTATTAGTAGTAACAATGTTGTACCAATGCAGATTTCATCAATGTATAAACTAAAATTATAGGTACTAATCTTCTATATACACTTATGCATATTAAATTGTTAAAAATGCTTAAAAATTAATCTAATATACATAGAATAGATATCAAAGACACGATGTAAAGAAACATAAAAAGCAGACAGGTTATTATAAGAATACAATATTACTAAAACAATAATTCATAAATATTAATAAAGTTCAATTTTTCGACTAAAATAACATACCCAATGAGGCGTTAACTATGGAAGATATTTTAATAATTTATTATATATTATACTATACAAGATTGTTTTTAAATCGTTTTAAAAATGGTGTGAAATTATTATTGAGCGTTATAGTACCATAAAATATAAATCATTCAACCGAATGAAAACGTAAAAAGTTTGTTATCGTTGTTATTTGTCGTTATAATTACACCAGATTCGAATTGGCTGTTTTTGAATAGATAATAGAAAAAAAACAACGTAAGAAATAAAGGTGTCACACTAATTTTATTATTACTATTATTATTATTATTTTAATATTAGATACATATGTACATCACTATTGGTACACAAAATTCCTATATAATAAATAATACAATTTATTATATATAAATAAATATACTTATATAGTTATATACATATACATATATATATAGACACATACACATATAAATATATTATTTAGTAGTAGTAAGGAGCAGTAGTACTTATTTATTGGAAAATATCTAGATTGACAGAAATATGTTACACGTTGACATAATCGCAATATGAATAGAGAAAATACCATCGATGGCTTCTAAGCATTCGTCTATATGAATAATACACAGGATCGTATTACATTTTTACCCTCCTGAAATTATTTTCCATTGAATAAGAAGGGTATTAAAATAAATACAAACATTTTCAGCTGTATATGGGTCACTCCTGACTCCTACCGGCGAACCTAACCTGTGTGTATCAGTTATATGTCAGGCTTACCTTTATCGGGACCTTTTTATGGTTGAATATTAAAGTCCAACAAATAATTAACTTTTTTTTATTACTCTCGAGGAATAAACTAATCCCTCCCGGCTCCTACCTGGCTCCCAACCATCAGAATTGTACATTACCCGAGCACGCTTTTAGAGCCCAGATTTATGACCCAAATAATATACACATGAATATCATAATAATAATTGTTATAATTCGGAATGAATGCACTAATACTATACAATTTACCTATAATAAAAGAATCTGGAGATAAAACAAATAATATTATCCTCTATTATATAGGTACACAATAATTTATAATCATACCTATAATTTCAAAACTATTCGAACGCATATCCGCATACACGTGAAACCATAACATAATAACGGCACGTACTTCCATCGCAGAACAGACGAAACTGACGCACGTCCATTATAAAGTTAACTCCTCCGTTGGGTTTTTGTGGTAAGTATATTAGGTATATATTGTGATAATATAGTATATTATAAAAATAATAATATTACTATGCCAACCGCAACAGACGGTAGGTAATGAAATCGCGGTCATCGGCGACTGCGAATAGTTATGACCGACGACTCCACGCGGTTCTGCACACGTTAATATTCAGTATAATATCAAAAACTAAAATGTCCTACCTTGGTATATAACAATTAACATCATCCGCCATACGCGTCGCTTGAATAAATTATAACCACACATATCATCGTCGCTTTGCGAGCCTAATCGTTTGGAAAACGTCACGCGTGGATGGTTTTACTTTGCTCAAGAGTTATAATAAAACGACACCTGCAGTGGACTGAGTGACATTTTTACTACCTACGGATAAAGTAACATATTTTTTATTTCATACTTTTATCATACCGAGCAGTGGTGATTTTCGGAATATCTTCTGGGAGAGGGGGTCTTCTGTTATTATTATGTTATAATAAGAAAAAATATTTACCCATTGATTATATTTTATTAATCTAATTTTAATTAACTTACACTAACGAAAAAATAAATATTTATTTCTTTTTTTAACTCACATGCCTGCATCTATGTTTAATTCAATCTATTCAACAAGAAACTTTTAATTTACACGGAACCTCCCCCAGGTCTAGCCTCTAGACCACTAGTATTGAGAATACTATAAAATACTACCTAACCCAGTAGTAAAACCTATACATTATTGTTGTACATATATTGTTTGATAATAAATATTATTTTACTGAAATAATGTATTGTCATTACTAAGGGCCTATACTAATTATAAATTATAATATATAAAAAAAATGGACTCAGAACATACACCTTAACCATCCGTCCTTCTTCCGCCGTCCCCGAAGTTTATTTTATCTAGTCACTAGACAAGACAGTGTTCATTTAGAACTCAATATAGCTACTACATAGGTACTCTCGTAGCACTCTCGTCAATTTTATTCAAACTACTGATAAGTGTAGTATTCAAATTATTATATTATTTTATCTATACGGATAGAAAAGCTCGGGAATAATGAAGTCGCAGGGTTGAATGCTATAAATTTATAATAATTGCTATAGATTTACTTAATAACGATAAAACGGGAAATATGTAACGTATAGGTAAGTTAAATAGGTACTACTATTCTAAGCTTGTTGTGTTGGAATCATATTACATTTTTTTTTTTTCAAAATTGAATATTTTGTCGACGTGCAGTAGACCGTCGCGGTGTATTAACTTTGGCGGTGGAATCGACTATATACCCAACATTACTCCTAAAATATGATTTTATCACATATTATAATAAAATTCGGTTTAAACATTTCAAGCAGTACGACCGACTCAAACCTACACAAAACTATTTCCAGTGCAGGATTGATCGTGTGTAGACGGTGTGATTTTCGGGTGGAAACGATGCACGTGGCTATTACTCGCGGTTTATCGCAAAAGTATTATTATTATAGGCACCTATAGCGTGTGTGCGATGGTTTGTGTTGATAATAACAACGATGAAATTATTATTATTATTATAATTATTCGGCGACGGAATAGCGCGTGCGGCGCCGCCGGGTAAATATTATTATTTGGTAGGAACGAAAAACGATCGGCCACGCGACCTACCCGACGACAGAGACGCCACACTCCGCCCTCGGCGACCCTGACCTATTCGCGACGGACGGCCGTGTCCCTCCGGTGTCGGACGTTGTGTCACTCGCGGCTCAAACGAATACCAGGGTCCCATCCACTCGGCGCGCGGTTCGCGAAATTTGTGCAAAATTCACGGAGGCGACGGCGCGATGCATTTGCAAACGAACACAAAATATAATGATATATTTTCGTAAGACAATACGTATTTTAGTAAACATCAATGAATAAGGTGCGGAAAAAACGGCTTCGAACACGTCACATGTCCGAGACACAATTATGACGCGCCAACTAAAAAAAAATATTTGTTATAGGTTTTTGCTTATAAACCAACCCTTGTGCAGTAGCATAATTACCTATTATTATTACTTTATTATCCCCAATGGGGAGTGAAGTGTGCCGTATTATTGACTATCCACACTTGCGCCTCATACTAAAAAGAATGAAATTTTAAGAAAATATATTGTTTGATCACACAAAAAATAATAATCAGCCTGACAGCCATACGAAATATCACTTTAGTCAATTATTTGCAGGATGCTGGAAGGCATTTTTCTGATGGATATTTTAATAATAACCCAGAATTATTACGATTATTCCTTAGGATACGTTAAGTCATTTGAATTTTGTTGCTTCTATTAAATCCTTTGAAAGTTGGATTAGTTAATAAATTAGAGTGTGTACCTGAAATAACCAAACGTTTGTCCCCCACACTTTTCAAAATAATATTTAATATTATGTACTATATTATTATCTTTAATCCGGTGTGCAGTATTTTAAAACTTAAATCCATTGTAATTCATATGATAATTTTGATTTTAGTTTTGATATGCTATTTAATTATTTAAATTACAATATAATATTTTTAATTATTTCATATTGTATATTTGTATCTTATCACTGTATTAATACCCAAATGGGATGTCACCTGTACATAAATTAATTAATGGGTATTTTAGTTTATCAATAAAACCTGTTTTCAGTTTTTGACCGACATGTTTTCACGTCTAGAAATTTTAATATTATCGTAATTTATAACACATTTAAACGTTTACGTATTTAACAAAAAAGTATTTAAAACAACTTAACATAAAAATATACTTGACAGACTCTGCAAACTTTTTTGGCGGTACTCAGACCGTACACTAACCTAACTCCTATGTCAACGTGTTAAATTATATTATAATAAATTACTATCTGCAGTTATTATAAGCTGAGAAATACCTCCGCACACGAATTGCCTCTAAATAAAAACGAAAAATAATAGTAGGTAACAATATAATAAAATAAATGCGACCGACATTACCGTATATAGGGGCAGTGCGTGCGGCCGTCGCTGTGGCAAATGGTTGGCGAAAATTTTCTCTACCATAACACCGCAACTGCGAGTGATTCACGCGACCGAGTTGTAAATTATTGTACCATATTATTATTATATTAACGTTTTGCCACGACCTGATATACCACGCTGATCGTCACACTGAATTGTGATCTGAATTCACGTTTATATGGGTATAACGGGAAACAGTGAAAATGACAAACAGACGTCGCTGAAATAATACATAATAATCTATTGTAATATATATGATTTAATATTTTGCAAATTTCGTGCCCAATATAATATGTGAGCTGCACATTGAGCAAATCGAACGTATTTTTGTAAAAGATTGAGGGTTATTCATAATTATATTATAGTACAATACAGTCATAATACTATATCGCGGGCGAAATTCTATATTAAAAAAAATATTTGAACATGTTTTTGTTTTTCATCACATATTTTATTGAGTTGATCACTATATATTGTATAGTTACTATTATAATATGATATTATATTATTATACAACCACTGCAGAAGACTGAACCACATCATTGAAAGTAGATTGAAATACCAATCTATACAACTATAATACGATGTACTCTCGATTTGCATCGGAACTTTTAGACTTAGGGTACCCTATAGGGTTAGCAGCTGCTAACGTGAGACGATTCCACAACCACTACTTTATCCCACTCATCATTGTTTAATTATAAAACAATTAAAACTTTTTTCCACCGTTAATTTACTAGGTACTCGTTCGTGGTACATGCTCTCTAGTGGATGATAAAATACATAAGATATACGTACCTTTAGGCTTTTCTCTCACAACGCATTGTATGATAAATGATTAATATTTTACAACTATAAGTGCCTGCAAATATTTTAATTACTAAATTAACACGAGTAAATTGAATTAAGTGTAAAGAAGATAATCGCCGCTTGGGTAAAAAAAAATATTACGGTATTTAAAATTAAAACAAATATCGTAGTTTTTACAGTTACAAGAGCGGCGAGATATCTGCACGCTACATCACAATTCCAAATGCGTTTCGCTTGCAGTTCAGTATCAGTAAATTAATTATTTTTGAACTCATTGTGATCTTATAGAGTTCAAACAATAGTGCGCTTACAACGCATTATGAGATAATACACTCGAATAACAATTGTTGTTTGTTTTCCAGAGTGTATCATCATGAAGTACATGGACATGTTCCGGATTGTTGCGCTTATTAGCGCGCTACGCATAAACGGGAACTTGGCGTTCACATCCGGCGACGATAAGTTCATAAAAAAATACGCCATGATGAAGGTATGACATATATATTATATTTTTATATACACCTATATACACGTAATATTATCACATGTATATGATGCATATTTATATACATTTTATTACATGTGTGTTGCAAAATATGACATATAGGATCAGAACAGTGGCGGAAAAAGTAAAACAAAACGGTTACTTTCACAGTCCGCACATAATATTAAACGAGCAATTATTATTATTACATGGTTCGACGAATAATAACAATATTTTTTTTTCTATTTCAAGTATTTCACACGTGTGACATACTGACGTTATCTTCGTGGCTGTACCGTATAAACAACTGTTTGTTATATTTGCTGTGAATAGTGTACGGTTGTCTGCCTAAAACGTGAAGTTAAATAGTAAATTAAAAGAAATAATTGTGGAATACTACTATACGTTTGACGTAAAAAATTAGATACCTATATAATTTTTGTCCTCATATTAGTACATAGCCATCCGATATAAAAACAAATAATAAAATTCCATAGCTCTTATAACCAGTTTCTCTCTGAAGCTCTAGCAAACTAATTTAAAAGTTAAAATATGTACCTACATTCGATACCATTGTGAAATTAATAATTATTTATAACTGAAACCCAGAACGCATTCATTTTATATTTGTGTGGAGTATACTTATGTGTATAGGTATATATTACGTATAGTATTATAAATTATAATGTTAATAAACACTATAGTTTATAAGTATAAGGCAAATAAATATTTCCCGAATAGTAAATTATTATTATTATTACAGTTTTGAGTGAGGTTGAATAAAATAAATATTATTTATGTTATTTTTTTTTTTAATAACATAAACGATAAATATGTGGGGATAAATTATTATAAAAATACTTTGCCGAGTAATTGTTTTGCGTTCAACAAAGATTTTCATTTTTTAAATTGTTCAATAGTTATTATAACCGGTCTATTGGCTATTCAGCTATTGTATATAATATCAAAGTACCTATATAACAGTAAATACCTAATAGATATATTATACGAAGTTTATGATACACACGCCTTCCTCTTATTCTTGCAGTTATAATATTCTATTTCATTTTATTGGTATTCAATTAATTGTATTTTATTTATTTCTGGTAAGAAAAATATAAATTTCAAAAATACTTGCAGAATTTTTTTTTTCTAAACCTAGTCCATATGCAACTTTCAAATTTCAATATAATGTTATAGTATAAAAACAAATAGAAAACTCATAAAATCATCTAAGCCAATAGTTACTAAAATACTAAAAATTAAAAATAAGTATTCAAGCTCCAACACCCCTTTTGTACATAATATATCACCTCATAGGCAATATCATATAATTATATAGATATTAAAGAAATTACGTACATGATATGAAGCAATATCGTTTTCATTATATATTACCTATTATAGGTAATTTAGGAGTACCTACTGACCAATGATCCAAAAAGACCATAGAAAAATATAGTAATTATTTATGAATATTCTTCGTTTTTTTTCTAAAACTTAAAACCGTGTAAACAGTTTTAATCGTTGAAAATCCATCGTGCGGTTACAAGCGTGAAATAATCAGCATTTAGGATTCGGAAAACGCCCAGAACATTCAAGCGCCTATAATTATCAAAATATATTATATAGGTACATGATTATATACTCTGTGAGAGCGAAAAGTGTACGGACCAACCTTCTCATGCAGGTGTTTTTCTTTAAATATTTAAATCTCGTTAAACATAATATGTTAATTATCAATACATACAAGAGTTCTAAGTTCTAAACACGCTGGTAAATCGATACAGAATCAATTATTAAAAGTCATCATTATAAATGACGATTTTTTTCTTCCAAATTTGAGCTGCATAATACACAATATAATTAATATTGTCTTCAAAATGGCACAACTTCTCTAGCTCAAAAACAGAGCAGTATCTAAAATATGTATTATTACTATTTATAATATACATATATACAGGATATACTATATTAACACTAAATACTAATGCCTTTTCTGAGTTCTGATATGCGCGTCGATTCTTGGGGGAGTGTATTGCAATATATAATATTATAATATTATAATATCATCAGGTGTACGAGAACTGTTTCGGGCCGGAAGTAGTGAAAGAAGTGCGGAAAGAAATGAAAATAGCCACGGCCAAGTGCAACGGCAACATGCCCATGAGTGTACCTACGCCCAACATGGGCTCTTTGAAACTGGCCGCGTCGCCGTCAAGCATACACGAATTCAGCAGCGCTCACCACCAACAGAATCAGCACCAGGCCAAGCCTCAAGAGGAGACGTCATTCAGCAAGACGCAGCCTAGTGGCATCGACATAACGAAACTTCAGCAAGCAATTCTGGCCGGATACAACAAGCACCTGGTGAGTAACGATATTTTTCTTAAAAAAATTGAATGATCGACATCTGAATACATACACATACTTACCTATTCCGTTTTAATCTTTATAGATAAAGTTAAAAAGTATAATATTAATCATTTTTTATTTGACATTTTCACATTTTCACCTATAGATAATTACAAAAAATGTTTATAATAATGAATCATCTAAAATAGCGGGTTCCCAACCTCTTTATAGTTGCGCGGACCATCAATTATGTAAAAAAAAACTTTGAGAACCACTTAACTAATATACAGGAATACAATATAAGCACACCCAAATAAGACGATAGAAGAAATATAGAAGTGTATAATGTGGTATTAAAAATCTAAATGAATAAAATTTGTTGAGACAAATAGAATTTGAAAGTTGACAAGTTGAGAACCAATATAGTCGTTCTACTCTTTGAACTACAGAATGAAATACGACGACTTATAACAATAGTTTTTCGTGTACTTGCAGCATAGTTTATCAACAGAATTTACCAACACAACTTATTCTGAGTTAGTCAACGCTGCAGTAAATTCTGTGGCGTACCAACACTTTTGTACATTTGTACATTTTTTAAACCATTAGACTTTCGAACTTCTAACACACGATTATTCAAAAAACATTGATGTTTCCTATTTCGTTAAAAATTTACTCGGCGTTTAAACAAAAGTAACTAAATATACAACAACAAAAATGATGTCTTATGATTTTTCATTACTATACATACTGATCCTCGTTCGTCCGTTGTTGGTGAACGATATAATAACAATACAATAAATGTTCGTTTAAATGCTGTATAATATACTACTTTTCTAAAGTTACACTTAAAAGGTTTGCTCAGTCGGTTAGAGATGAGGTAAAAACATATTCATACCTACTGCTGCAGTGCTGCATCTACCTACATACTGAGTCATAGATTTCCAACCACGTTTCGGTCGATCGATGCTCATATATAAGCGTGAATCACGTTATTCTGACACTTTATACTGTTTCATTGATTAAACACGCAGTAGTTCAGACGTTCAGTTAAATAGGTTCGCTTACCGTTGAAATCCGTCATCTTATTCTGCTCGTTCGTCTCGGTGGCCGACAGGCAGCCAGATTTGTGTCTGCTTCGTCGAAGGTCATTGGTCGATTGTACTTCGCGGATTTTCCGTTCATCGGTAGGTATAGGTAGTGTCCTGCACTCCTGCGATAGCATTTCGATCAATTAGAATCTTGTTCGATGTCCATAACGGTAAAATGAATTAATTAATTACCAGGACGGATACGCAGAAAAAAAAATGTGAGCGGACGACACAAATTAATATATTATTATAATTCGGTCGATGAAATCGCGATTAACGTCAATGGTTTGTATTCCAATTTCTTGTGACTATATCGACACATTGATATTCGACACAATTACGTTCATATTATATCGACCATTTGCAAATGCGTACATGGTTAACTTCGTCACTTATTTTGTATAAGTAACCTCTACAATTGTTTTTGATCACTTTTTGAATATAATAAAATTATTTATAACTGTATGTCCCTCAAATTATTCATAAATTTCCGTATTTTAAACTATAATCTATAATATTCATTATGACATAAGGTCTATCAATATTGTAAAAATATAAATTAATCTACAAAATTAAATTCGCCTAATAGTAATACATTTTTAGAGCCACAACAAATCAGTGTCAAATATAATATACTATAATGTATTTTCAAATTGTAATTAAATGATTAAAAAAACTATTGTTTTTATTTACAATAGACATTCATTCAGATAACCGGTAGATGTATGGAACTGTTTTTTTTTATTTTTAAATTAAAAATTGTTGATAAAAGTTTTTGCTTTGTTTTTACAAGAAATATACAATCTATACATTTCAGTACAATAATATATGTAAGATGAGAGAAAAACACACAATGAAGTTGAGTTGATATATGGAGCCACCTATTAGTGGCACTTAGCAGTTGATAAAAGTTTAAAAACTAAACTATACAAATTTAAAACGCGCATAGATCTGAGTGACAACTGAAAGTTATTACATGTATAAATATTTGAACAGTTAAGTACACTAATCAAGGGTACATAATATACCTAAAAACATAACTCATTACTATATACTATCAAGTCTTAATGTTTTGGAATCTATTTTACAATCCTGATAAACCATAGTATGACAAAATATAAACCATAGTATTACGTTTAATGAGGTGGAAAGCTTATATCGATAGTGGAACCAAAACTGAAAAAAACATGTATACTTCATATTTAATGATACATCGCGTAATTATATAGGTACTTGTGTATAATATAAATAAATGTAGTTTTTATTTTTATCATCGAGTGCGGACATTAATAAGGAGTCAGGGGCATAATGTGTCATGACAAATTAACAGGAAGTCGTTTCGCATAGTAAAATGTGTGCTAGTAGTGGGCGTATAGAAATAATAGCAAAATAATAATCATTACAAAGGTAAAAATAAAACTCATTATTCTAAAACTTCAAGAATATTATATTTTCAATTTGTATTCCTATCTAAATTATTATGAGTGGCTATAATAATATTATAATATTATAGATTTCGATTTTAAATTACAAGTTACAACACTTAACAATAATATAGATATTAAATGTTTTTTTTGACGCCCACCCCACACGACGTATTATCTCCGCCTGAGAGGTGTGTTACATATATTTTGTGCTCTAACGCGAATTTGTACCTTTCGTTCGTGTTGGAAAGTGGTTCGATCCATGGGCGGCGAGATCAAATAGAAAATGATATTCAGTGTGAATGACATTCGACCCGTCACCTCGTCACCTGACAAACAATTAATATGATCGACAAAAAGTCGGTAAACGTCAAATGATCAAAAGTACTAGTCGATCGACCGATGACGTACCAGTGGTAAGTGGTACCACAGGCTAAAGAATCACTATGTTTGTAACAAAAGCGACGGCTAAAGAATGCTGCAAAAAAACAAACACGAACTAATCGGGAGTCTAAACGCTATCTAAACCCTAACTCCTCCACTACTTGACGTACCTATGCTATTTTACGATATTTCAAATTGTCTCTGATACAATGATAATTTTTAAATATTGTAATATTTTACATACTCATTACTTCCATACAATTTTAAATATATAAAATATAAACCTATACATAAAGGTAATAACCTAGTTAAAGATAATAATAATATTATCTAAGCCGTCTCTTATACTATTATTAATATTTATATTATTTGATATAACGGGTAATGGGCATTTGAAAATTGTAATCTTTTTCATATAGTCTCAAACTTATTTTAAAATTTAAATATCAATAAAAGCCTCGTAGAGGTACTTCATGTAATGTTCTCACTTTAAAGTTCAAATAAGTAATAACACAAAATTGATTCTACTAAATTCAAATTTGTTATGTCTATTTTATGTAAGGAGACTATAAGTTTAATTTTAATTTTAAATCCTCATCATAAATAATAATTTATACGAGTAGTACCAAAAAAAAAATTTTAAAAATTCAAAGATATTAATAGACATTCCTACCTATAATTTTAGATTTAGAAAGATTTTACACTGCAATACTGCGTAGTGCATATTATGCATGGTATTTCATGTATGTGGTGGCTTTTTACCTGAGGTAACCACTTTCTCAGTCTATGTTTTTGATTTTGAAGTTTTATTATATTATTTGAAGACCTAATACATTATTTTTCAAAATTATCTATTTTTCTATTTTAAATTGCTACCCCTGTTGGTAATTTCAATCTAAGGACAGATACAATATTTATATGAGTTAAGATAAGAGCCAAGGAAGCAGAATGCTGGGGAAACGTTGGTTTAATATTTGCTATTTTAATATGTTACATACCACTTATATAAATATTCAGAATACAATTTAAAAAGAACATTCTTTCTTGGGAGTATAAAATTAAAAATATAGGTAGGTACTGTCTGAAGGAATTATTTTAAATGGAGTTGCGTGTTTCTTTTATGTTTATTCTTAACATAAATATTTATAAAATATTCTGTTTTGTACTTTAGTCTGCAATTATATACATAAAAAAAACACGTTATCAGCTTTTTCATTCAATTGTCACACCAACTTATCCATAATTTATCCATTAGTATTGTATGAAAACTCTTTAACCTCAAGAAATGTTTATGTTTCCATAAAATATTATTATTAGGTCAATATCGATTCTTTGTCGTTATACTGACTATATCTAGTTATAAGTGATATTAAATAGCAGCAGTTTATTTTAATGATGTTAATTTTGTAGGTGCCGTCTGTCTGTTTAGCATACTTATAATTATTATGACTTATTTTATTCTTAATAAGTGCAATTCAATATGACAATGAAGAAAAATATTTAAATTTCTTCAATGCCTTATTAAAATTAATTATGTATAACATATAACGTATAAAATACAACTTAAATGGTGTTATCAAAGGGCCAAATGCGAAAATTTAATATTAAAACGATGTCAAATAATTAATATAATATTAAAATAAATATGTATTTATTTATGATTTTATATCTAGTATCTACCCGAGAAAATAAAAATAATAAGGCAACTGTTTTTTTCTGTAAAACACAACACTGTTATTGTAAGTCTAGTAGGTAGATGTAAGGAACCAAATAAATAACACGATTTTTACTGTTGGTCTGCGAATTTTGGTTTACTGGCAACTATAATGTATAATATATTATAGCATAATATGACGTATAATATGCTTGTCGAATAATATACAAGTGGAAAATTACAATTATTACCTACGGTATAAAAGGAAAGACTACAAACAAAAATATCCGAAGTCCATATGGATAATAATATCATTTCTTTTTAGGTTTTTTCGTTAGGTACTATGTTGTATAAAATATATATAATAATAATTCGAATGCGCTTATTATGCCTTGTTTAGTATTTCACCAGTGCACGCAGAGTCAAATGAGAAATAGACGTTACAAATGTCGAATTCCGTTTTGTTCACTTTGCCTTTTGATTTTCATCACGCAGACCGAATTTAGTAACGTTAGAATATCAATTTTATTATTTCTCAGAAAAAAATCAAAAAAAAAAGAAATCACGATAATATTTTGGAAAAATTAGAGTGCTTACAACGGTCTGCTGATTCGCGTCGTATCATCGGTATCGGAGCCGAGCGTGAAGAGTTTAGTTAGTATATAACAACGTGAAACTGTCAATCATAATATTATAACCGACGTAACTACGCTCGCGTTTCTATTTACAGTACACGCGTTATGATTGCTCATCAATATAATATAAATATTATTTATTCAAATAACATTATGCAACCGTAGCGTTTCGCCCGCCCGCCCGCCCGCCTTGCCGCCGGCGTCGTCGTCGTCATCTTTATTCCGCGCATGAGCGTGCCGGGCGCATCCCTTCCACGCGAGAAAATAATAATTTCCGTATACAGTATGTGTCACCTCAGCGACACCGCACGATTCGTACCAGGGTCCCATGAAGCAGGGCTCGTTTCCTTTTGGCATCGATCTGCAAGACGGTTACCTGAGCAGACCGCGGTCGTATTTTAAATGACTCGTAGGTGGTATTTCTATACGATAACCCCACATCGGGCGTTCAATCCGTAGGTGTGACGCTTACAAGCCCGCAGTAGAATTTTGTTTTTTTCGACTCGAACCCTGTTTTAAATGATTAAACAGTAACGGATTACCCATAAAAAATACCTACAGCCTGCAGTATTCCTATATTATATCCAATCAAATACGCATGATATTGTACCAACTCTTTAGAGGCGATGACAGTACGACAAACTATCATGGTTATTGATTTATCTGGATTGCGATGATTTATCGATCTATGTTTTATATACAAATGAATGTACGTTTGTCGGGGGTTTGTAGACATGGAAACTATACTGAACCTGCAATTGGCAACAAATTTTGCAAACAAATTGCTTGAGAATCGGGGAGTGTTCATAGCACTATGTTTTTCAATCACTAAAGGCTGCCATATAGGGTTGCTCTGGCTTTCATATGAATTTTTGTTTAGGCTTACGATAGTTGAATAATTTTTTGTCTATCAATATGTATATAGGACTGGCCACGGACACATCCGTAAAGAGACCTTGACATAATCTATATGTACATATAAATTAATGTATGTAACTTAAATACCTACTCAAAATCTACTCGACTGATTTTGAAAACAATTTCAAATTGTTTTTAAAGTTTTCAGGAATGTTTAGAGATTAGGTAGTTTTGAAAATAAATCAAGCAATATATCCAATCCATACCACAGGTAGATTGCTCGCATCTCTGTCAAATGACAAAAGCATGTATATACCGACGCCCATTTACCCGTGCAGAACTTAGCCACACTAAAACCGAGACACATAAAGTGTCCATTTTGTTCACAGGAAAAGTAGGATTGTATAGGCGTACAGCTAGAAATTTATAAAAATAATATAATACTATTATCACCCGTAACATTAAATGTAGAAATAAAACGTACACCTTACTAATTTATGTCTCGGAAGTTAAGAGGTTTTTGAAACTTTGCAAAAACTGCAGTAATATGAACAATGAACGTTTATCTAAAATATTCATGCAAATATCGTCTGTATGCAGCGATAATATGAAACGAAAAATTTTTAGTTTTGACTAAGCATAGTTTTGGATGCAAGTAGTATCCTCCCCACCACGCATACCAAATTGTTCGTATGCAACATGCACTCGGTCGATGTAAATACATATTGTACCTACGTCTACGTGTATATACCTAAGTAATAAGTATATTATTATTATCGTGTATTCATATTAACCACGAAATACGCACGCGTGAGTAATATTGTTTAAAGAAATAAAATAAAACGGTTTTACAACCATCAATATCGTATATATTATATATAGATCATTTCTACGGTCTACGGTTTTATAGAATTTTATACCATATTACCATGTCTACCTATGTACCGTATTTTGTATAGCCTATTTATAAATATATAAATATTATATTAATATTATATATTATTAATATAATATTAATATATATATATATATTAATATAGTATTACTTTAACGTAGACGACTTACATTGAGTATATATATTTACTAATACCTCTCACACGGTGTGTTTTAGCAGCAACAGTCTTCTCACCAGTCGTACTCTCCGTCGGCATCTGTGGCATCAGCTTCGCATCTCCAACCACAACCACAACAACAACTGCAGCAACCACAACAGCAGTACATCAAACCGTGGACTTCGGGATCGTCCTCGGCGTTCTTGGACCAACAGCCGTCGTACATGACCAACGCTCTATTCTACCCGCCAAACGCGGCGCAAAACGCGGGCAACGACATGTACCTGCCGAGAATATCCACCGTCCCGCAACAGCCCTACCCTGGACCATACCCCATGATGGCCGCCGGTCAAATGTACCAGCCGTACTATCAACCGTTCTACCCCACGCACCGGACTTCGGTAAGTTCACCAGCGATAATAACTTAGGGTCGGCGCCTTGGTGGCATGTATATTAAGTGTTACTGCACATACAGAGAGACTGTCTTACATCGTCTACCGCGAGGTTGTAATACCTTAGAGGAAAATAAATGTATACCTACGAGGAGTTTTTAAATTTTAACCACTTATCATATTGGTACCTACATAAAATATAAAAATGTAGAATTACCTATATTACCTTTTTATATTATATAGGAAATTCTACATTTTTATTTTTGTTTTGTAATAGATTCTCATAAAAGCAGTTTGAACAATAATAATTGAAAAAACTCTGAAGTATTTTCTAAGATATAACATATAACCTATAGTTTGTGATGAAAAAATCCCTCCGTATCACCTACAGTTACTTATGTGCGTGGGCGTAGGTAGTAAATATTTTCGGAGGGGTTTTTTGTCTAAATCCTAAATAATATGCGAGGTAACAATATTCTCGAACAAATTCACAAAAAGCTCAAGATTGTTTTATTTAATTTCGGGGGGTGTTTGAACCCCCCCCCCCCCCTTACATACGCCCATGCTTATGTGTTATACCGTCCACCAATTAGATCTGTTAGACGATTATTGATTTAATATCGGTAAGTTTTTATACAACACAGTCCGTAGTTGCAATAAATACTGTAAGTAATAAAATAAAATTTGTCGAAAATATGGAGGACTTTATTTGGCTATTATACATACTTACATTACAGTGTTTATAATAAATTATAACCAAACATCGAATCCCAAGTCTGCCCATACGAATTACGAGGTCTATACGACTGTACATGTCGTTAATGACAAATCTGAGTCAATACATACTTATTCACTATTACTAAGTGCAGTTTGTCAAAAAAAAAAATCATTTTACTCTTTATAAAGTTGGACTAACGGACTATATAATATTATAATAATATAAACATTCAATAATATATTCGTGGTAATTTATTATACTTCGTATCAAGTTTATAAACACTTTTTTTCACATTTCATAATATACTACATCTACATTTTCCAGTAAACAATATATTCGAATTGTACGGCATCATAATATACGATTTTCCTTCGATGAATCTCCTGCACTTTCATTGAATGCAAATTTTAATCGTGAAATCTGCAGGAAACCCATAAAGTAAACTGATAATAATATGATATTACTTTTACCAATATTATAGAGTTCAAAGGTTATCCAAGTAATAGGTACATATGTTTATATTATAATTGTACCTACACACATTAAACTTGCGATCCGCTGAATGGTGTACCATTTGAGTTGTTCTAATTCCTGAGATACGACTTGGATAATTCGCTCCAGTTTTAATATAGATAAACATTTTTTAAGTTAGTTACAGTTCAGTGACTTACCATTATCATTTACCATCCTACTAAACAAACTAATTTTGTACTGAAGTTACTTTTACACAATATGAAGGTAATATAGTATAATATATTATAATATAGCCAATTGGAGTGACATTTCAAATAATAAACTTAAAGTGTGCATACGATTTATAAATTACATGCATGTGCGCAACCTGTACAATTAGACAAATTTAATAATTACATATAGATAGTTTAAAAATTAACTTGAACTTGATGTAATTTTTAATTTATTAATACCTAATATTGTATACTACCTAAATACAATATACATTTATCTGCATTATTTAATGTCGAGCTAAAAGTTAATTTAATACATTTTACAATTTGTAATTAGAGTAAATAAATCAATAACCATAATACCATAATAAATTAATTACTAATGAGTAATGAGTAATAATCATTCATATTATATTGCATATATCAAAATATAAATACCTATAAATCAAATTATAATATCTTCTACCTGTCACCGACAACTTTTTTAATTTTCATAACTTTAAAAATATTTTATTAACCTTTTACGCTTGGCCATATACTTTATATAATTCAACTATATAGTAAACTATTCCAGTGAAATGGTTGAATTATATGGAAGAAATATTTATGTTTTTCTAATGTTTATACAAAATATCCACATAATATTGGAATCTACTCAAATATTTTTTTGAGTAGGTACCTAAGTAAAGTCAATGTTTACTAAACCAAATAATTGTATACGGTAATAGCGTGCAATCGAAAATATAAAATATAATTTATACAAAAACAATATTATAACATGAAGTGTATTAAAACCATTATACCCTATATGTATTTAATACATTTTCACTTTTGTACTCCATTTTTTTTTTAAATCCGATTTTTGAAAAACGATTATTTCAAGTAGTTACAAGATGGCCACATAAATTTACCATAATTTTTGTAGTGTGCATTTTGACCTGTTTTTTTGTATCATTATACATTCACAATTCGCTTATAGCATATAGCCATCCATATAAGTATATAAATAATGAACGGGTCTCATATACAACTTGACCAGCGTGTTGCCCATTTACCGGTCATGCGTGTGATACAATAACAATCGCGTTATCAGAATGTGGATTTTAAACTAATAAATAAAAGGATAAGCTGAACGAATCAAACGATTACTAAGACAGATAATATAATACAAAATACAATTATTTTTATACTATGAGCTATTTTTATACGCTTCGTTTGGAGACAATTCATATTTGGGCGAATGACCTTTTAAGTTTTTACTGCTTAGACACGACAAATGCATGAGACCGAAACTCTCACCTGTTCTGAAATTTTAATATGCATATATGTCTATATATATATATTTACTTACATACGAGGTTTGTTCAAAAGAATAGGAATTAAATAATTTATTTGATTGCCAAACAAATAATGAGAATAATAAATTTGACGTACAACACATCAGCGCATCCTATCTTTCATCTCGTCAATTTTAGACAAAAAAATGGTTCTGTACACTTGTCATTCCTTTATGGGATTTTTTATAATTCCTTAACTAAAAACTGCACTTGACGAAAACAGATTTCATAAATTGAATCAAATAAAAAACGACGAAACAACTCAAATCATAACTCTAGAATATATTTAATCACTTCATTTTTATTATTAGGTATAAGAGCGAAATGTGGGTATGGTGTGTGTGTCGTGTACAGCTAGTCTATACATCTTACCTATCATAAGCATGTGCAAATTATAAGTCATCGACGATATCTGACAGTGAAATATAATAATCGAACAGGTGGATTTGAATGCGATCAGTCACGCTAAAACGAATGTTACAAAAAAGGCTCTGGAGCCGGACAAAACAATTTAAGTCTATAAAAACTACTAACAAAAAATATCACTAACCCAATATACCTACTAGTCAGCTCGAAATACAAGACGTCAGTCAAATTTGTTTTTTTACAAACTATATTCAATTGCTCGTGCACTAATAGGTACAGAATATTATACTATATGCATATAATTTGCGTATATACGACTATAAAACAACTGTACAAATAACTGCGTCGGTAGTCGAAAATCGTTCAAATCCCAGCGATCTCGCGGATTCCGTCAGCATGATATAATGTTGTTTAATGCTTATACAATTATATATTTTAATATTATGTGTTAAGGTATAAGGGGATTTCAGGTGTACAAGAAACGGACGGCGAACTATGCGCCTCGCTTAAAGATATCTATATAGCGTGTATTAATATACTCAACAGTATTTTCAACATATATATATATAAATATGGATTATGGGGTAAAACATGACCGGGAAAATACTGTTAAGTATATTATATTATACGTGTATTAATTACCCATACGAATATATACATGTACAATGTACCTACACAATAATAAATCCTATAAATCGTGACCGTGTATAGCGTTAAATACAGTAATAAATGGTATGTGTGTGTATACTGAATATTATACCAATATATTGTATTATGCTAAGCGACCGTTTTGCGATCGGTGGACTTTATAACGATATTGGGATACACACATTCACGCGCCGCCAGCACAAATTCTATACCGTTATTATATACATAAGATCATATAGGCATTATTATGAATTTATATATATATATATATATTAGATTTATACCATGTACACGTTTAAGTAATATAATACATTATAATATATATTTATATATAGTACAGACACGCGTGCGTATATACTTTCGTAGTACAGTGTGATCTTCTGACTCTGTATAACCGTATAATATAATAGATATAAATGATAAGCTAATCCGATGAAATGAATGCCATTTGGTTATATCTGCACAATATATTATGCCCTCTTATGCCGCACATTTTTTCGGTGCTCATCTATAATTTACCTGGGTTAAATGAAGGAAAACAACTACCCCTCCCACCACTAAGTAAAGTAGGGGGAAATTAATGTTATTTGAAAAATATTGATGAGAAACAAAATATCAACGGAGATAAATATCATTGAGAGCGCAAGAAGTAGAAAATAGAGACTGTTTTAAAATGATTATTTCCATTAGTTAATGAATATAACCTAACCCATATTTATCTAAAAATATAATTTAAAAAGTATAAATACGCATATAATAATCAGCAATTGTTTGCGCCTCATTAAAAAAATTCCCTCGGATTCCCTTGACAGAGAGATTCGTTGTAAGTATAACATAGGCACAGCACAGCGGCACAGATATATATATATATATATATATATATGTATTTTATACGCGCTATATAATATTATTATGCTTTGTGCCTCTGCAGATGGTCGTATTTCTTAACACTGTTGTCTACTTATTATACGTGCATAATGAAACGTTAATAGTACAATATTAATATAATACTCGCGCACATTTACCGGATTGCAGTTGAATAATTGCTGGACGCCGGTTAAACAATAAAAAAAATTACGACTGGAAACGTGACTGGAAATGCTTTTCAATATAATATTATAATACCTACATATACACTGTCGCACGACGACAAAAAACAAACCAAGTCTCCCATATTACACACAGTCGCACACGACTCGCGCGGTATAAGATACAAGACACGGCCACAGTCCACCGTAAACAATAATAATATACAAGACGGACATTGCAGTAGACATCACTAGAGACAGCCATACGGTAAATTATCATTATTGTTATTATTATGAAACGGACCAAACATACGTAGGTACTAAAGATATACATCGGACACACGGCGCAGTAGGTTAATAAGTTTACGGTGATATCGTACGCACGTTTATATTATTATTATTATTATTATTATACATGTAATAGTGGTACATCGGCGGTAGGCACCTTTATATGCGCTTGGATTGTTATGGTTCGGGACGTATTTCTAATGTGGGTATTAACTTATGCCGGGTGGGACACTTGACTTTATGAGAACTGGTTCTAGAAAAAGCGGTATAACAAATAAATTTCAGTTTCGATCTAGGTCGAGTACATATATAAGTATCTACTTTACCTATCTAAATATAACATCAATCCTATCAAATAAAACGCCTATACAAAAACAAGGTGTATTTTCAACCATGCTCACCCCATTTTCATGTTTAAATTATGCATATCTTCAAATTCCGATTTTCAAATCATTCTATTTTTCGGAATTTTTAAGTGTCATTAAAGACGATATTTTCGAATAGGTACTTAAAATGTTACAACATTTAGGGTGTACCCTGTGGCGGTATCAAAATTGGGTTATCAGATGAGAACCTACGTGTTTTAATGAAAAATGATTTTTCTAAAAATGTTAACGTAAAATGTTTAAGTATTGTAATCGAAATACGAAATATTCTACTTTAAAATAGTTTACGTACTAAAAATAACGGTCTATTACATACTTTTCAAATGGATAAGGGCTCGGTAATTACAATATTAAGTATGCAATATAAAATATTTATTAATAATTACTACTTACTACGAAGGCCGGTAGGTAGGTCACATCGATGTAGTCTTCGCAGATACAAATAATAATAACGTAGATACGTTGAATAACGGGGCAGAACCTAAATAATCCGTCGACGGTTTTGTCATCACGTTTTGCCGGATCCTGAGGGAAATCGCGGTCGCGTTCCTTTTACAATAATGACACCACAGCCAGCTCTGAAAATGCTTAAAAGTGTCACGGGCGTCGTTTACGACATGCCTAAATATAAATCATAATATAGCGATGATGTTTTGAGGTTAATAAGGTTAATTTGAAATGGTAACCACCAAAACGATGTACCCATGTCTACGTGCAAAACGAGACTTCAACGACTATAGATATGGTTAAGGATTTCATTACCAATATGCGTACCTACAGATACAACACGTAGTAATTTTCTAGTTGCGGCAATAGTTTGAATAGGTGAAGCGACAATGTGCCTATTAAACCGGGGCCTGATATCCGCCTAATATGTACATTGTACATTGATGTGAGTATAATATATAAGTTATAGGTTGTATCGATCGATCTATAATCGAAGTCCTCGTATAAAGCTGGTATTTAAATCGACGCGTACTAGGATTATCTCCACCGAATAAGTCAATAACGTATACACGCCGCGGTGATCCACCCGCGTGTCTTTAAAATGGTTATATCCACTTATACTTTCCATCGCAATTAATTAGATAACTTGGCTTTTGCAGAGAGTCGGAGGTTTTGACGTCCGCAATCAGATGGACACGATGGCTGCCAAGATGACCGGCAAGATCCGAAACGTCACGTGCGTCATGCAGGAACTTGGTTATGTAAGTGTCTATTAATCTATTGCCAAGGATGTTCATTTTTTTTGTCATTATTTCATGGCGAACAAGGCTGCAATACCTAGGGTACCTTTAGAAAATACAAGAAATATTTAAATTTTTTGTTCTTAAAATTAAAAAAAAAAAAATGAATTTCTAATATTTTAAATTTTCTAAGATAGTTCTTGGTTGAATATGAATTTTTATATACAGCTCAACCAAAACATGGAACCAGACTACGAAAACATGAACGACAGGGTGATGAGGCTACCGATATCCGAAGAGCTTAAACAAGACATGGTCGACGGCATTACATATTGCAAGAAGTTTTCGGTAATATTAAACTCTTTGTGAAACGATTAGACATTTCTATGTACCTTTCTATAGGTTACGCTTATGTTAAAATGTTTCGAATTCATTTCGAAATTGTTCAACATTAATTAGAATACGTTTATTAATTATTTTTCTGTTAAGAAGTGTACCAACTTAAGTTTTCTGTTTCTTTCATTTCATACAATGATATAGGTAGGTATTCAATAATGTACAACCACACCTAGGTATCTAGGTGCATACTGATATTAAAATTTAAAAAGTACGCATACAAAACATTACTATAGAACAGCGGTTCTACAACTGTGTTCCGCTGAGCCCTGGGGCTCCGCGAGAGTAATCTAGGGGCTCCGTGGCTCCCATATATTATTTGTATTAATTAAATTCAAATTATTAAATTGTTATTATATTTCTTAGTTACATTTTTAATTTTTATACTTGTATTCATTATTATTTGGACCGTACCAATATGTATTATTTTAAAGTTTAAAACTGTCAACTATTTATAAATCCACATATTTTTTTATAATCGACATAATTTTCTATGAACTATTGTTGTCTCAAATAGACATTTCTGAATTTTGGGGGCTCCGTAATTTTTTTTTAGTAACATAAAAGCTCCGCGAACAAAAAAGTATGAGAACCGCTGCTATAGAATAATAAGCCACTCAATGCATTCTTAACATTTTTTCAACTAGACATACCTACATTTATATTTAGTTACTATGTAGGTAATAGGTATACATACACAATATTTATTAATTAAAAAACCAATATTTTATACTTTTAAAGATTTTATATTTTTTTACTTGAATGAACTATCTTATGTGATATGCGTTGCTTCCAGTGTCTTCTTTTTAGTAAGTAACGTTTCATAATCGTATTTGTATATGTCTACAGATGTGCGTACCGGATGAGAGAAAAGACAAGTTCGCCAAAGAGTTAGTGCGACCAATGTTCTTTTTCAAATGCTATAAAGTAAGTGAATGCGTTTTAACATAATATTGTTCATTAATTGTATATTATTCTTAGACCGAATAATATACATCCAACAAAATGAATACTTATTATAATACATTTTTTAAACTCAATAATACTATTATGTTCGATAATATAGCATAAAAAGTTGGAGTCATGTATAATGAAGGATATCAGAGACCGTTACACGGCAGAAGAATTTGGTGAAGACAACATGGTGACGTCCGAACGATCGATGAGAAGCTCACAGAACTTGGAAGACGATACTATTGAACAGACAGTGTTCGATTACATTTACGGCGACAAGTCCATAGACTTAGACGTTTTGCTGTGAGCCGATACGCAAGTATTTATCAACAACTATATAAATGCTCAACCGCGTCGTCTGTCACACGAAAGAAAAATCTGTCATCTGCGTCCTAGAAAGTCAAATTATATACGTTTAAAAGTATAATTTTATTTTCATTATGTTTCCTTAAGATATAGCCTGTAAGAGATATTTAATTTATTATTGTGTACGTTGGTCCTGGTTTTAAAACGCTACTAAAGATAAGTAAAGTAAAACCAGCAGTGGCGTTTCGAAATCAGGACGAACTCTCAATTAGAATATTTATGTATTTATTTTAATTTGTCAAGCTTATTATAATTTATTTATTATGAATAATGGTTTAATATAAAAAAATATATTATACAGTATATACCTATATTAAGTAAATTTTTATTTTTATTTATTTTTCCAATTGTTCACATTTTCTTCTTTTTTACAGACATTTTCACAGTATCAAATATTTGATATCATTATTGTTGGATTTGTTGGATTTAAAAGGAAATTATTGAGCAGATATAATATACATTATACAATAATCAATAAATTATAAACTGTGAATAATAATAGTAATAAAAATAATTTTATTCAACAAGTATAAAAGAACAAATTTTTCACATAATAATAATAACTATTATTATTGTATTATTGTTATGTTTAGTTAATTATTTATTTTTTTAACTTGTATAATTTAAACAATATTTCGGTGTTTAATTATCTCCGTATAACATATTACATTGATAGTACAATAATAAATAAATAGCGCAGAGTAAAATGATTGTCGTACAAAATGATTAAACTTTTAAATATGATTATAACCATGCGCGATTGGACGAGTCGAAAATAAAATAAAAGTATAGTAAAAATAATAGTAATAATTATAGTAATGGGGGGAATGGAGAGGATGGATTAGTTATGCGATGAAAGTTGAAAAGTTGAGTAAAATCCTGCTTTAATTTTATGACAACAACTAAATATGAATAACCTAAAATTCCTTAGCATTACATGTCGTGTTAAATATTTCCCTAAATGAAAATAGTAATAATAAACACGTTTTGATTGTATGATCATATTCATTTGACTATATAATGTCCGAGTAATTATTTTCACTATCTTTGCGGCTGAACAGTCTCATGCGACCAGAATGCTGCGTGGCGCTACTGATTACGCCCATCCACCTGAAACAGACAATACAAATTAGTTATTTAGATTGATTTAGTCGATGAATAGTTCAATATTCATTAAAAATTATTTTGACGAAGAAAGTTGATCCCTGGATGTGATTTTAAATGTCGGAAGGACACCCACGTAAAAATAAACGTAGTAGTCGACTTGTCAACCTTTTTTAATCTAGGATATTGTACAATAAGCATAGTGTTTGTTTAATTGAGTGCAACGGCTTGAGTGTCTTGAGGGAAGAAACCATCCAGTGAAAGTACTTCGGAGTGAATTTACATTATTTGGGTATTTAAAATTTAAGAATTCATATTATGTTTATCTTGTAAGGTTTCGGGGCCATTGTCGTTTGAGTCTTCTGGGAGGATTTATAGTGGTTTAGTGATATATAGAAGCTTTTTAATATGGGGATTGGTGTGATTTTGAAGGCGATTCCTAATTTTTTTATAGTTAAGCTTGGCTGTATCAGTGACTTTTAGGAACGTGAAGATTTGTATGAAGAGTGTGGTTTGAAACATACGGAGGAACATTGGTTATGAGTCGGAGGATTTTCGATTGGAAAACTTGTATTTTTCGTGTATTTGATATTTTTGCTGTGCTCCAGAGTTGAATACCGTAGAGCTAGATAGGCTGAAGAAGATTATAGGTATGAATTTTCGTTTTGAGAATTTACCGAAAATAGATCTGAGAGAGTAGAGTCGTTGGTTTAGTTTTAATTTTGTTGTATATAAGTGTTTAGACCATGTTAGACATTTGTCGAATGCTAGACCTTATTTGTTGATTAAAACAGTCGGTAGATAATCGTAAATGCAATTACATAATATTATAGGAATCGGGACACAATTACGGCGAAGACCACAACGTTTTACCTGAATAATGGAAACCATTGAGAGTTAAATTGCGGTTTCGATCAAATCACCACGAATCATCGGATAAAAAGTTTTAGGTTAAATGAACCATATTACCAAGCTATACGTGAATGTGAGTTGTGACTGCCGTCAATCACTCAATCGTCGTCACGAGAAAACCAACGCCAGTTTCGGGGCCCAACCCTAACATTTTCACCTAATTGGATAGATTTAAATACACGCAAACGAATATGTTTGAGGTTTTTTCCAGTTTTTCACAGACATCTTAGAATTTTATGTTGTCTTGACGAATGATAGTTTTCGTTAACCAGTATAATAATTATTCAACTAACGTACAAAATATTTAAACAATTCATTTCATTCCAGTTGCACGTATAACGGATGATTGAAAATAAAATTATTATAATATATCAATGGAATGACACGTATAACAATGGTCACGTTGCACACATTTTTATTGTGTTCACAATGTCATAATGTCCTCCGTTGGAACGTTTCTTTTCACTCCAATAATAACGAACACACATGAATTGTTAGCAAAGTCGACAGAAATCTAAAATTTAATAGAACTTCCGATGATATAAGTAATACTTAGAGGTATTATTATATTATGTATTACATAATAATAATAAATAATCATCGCATTGAAATCGCCTGTTGTGTATACAATCCTACTTCTAATGACTATAGATAATATAAAATTATCCTTATCCTATAGATATATGTTGAAATATTTGTTAAATATTACATTTTTTTTGTAGTTAATCTAATATTAATATATTATCGTTGACATTAAATACAAAATTAACCATCCATATTATAAACGTACTTAATCAACAATGTTTTAATTAATAACGTAACAATTTTTCTATGAATTAAACAATTGTTGATTATTCACAACATAAAAATTTGTTTTTATAATATACTTTGGTTATTATGGACTATGGCCCACCTATCTATTAATGTTAACTATGACTGTAGATGTAAACTTTGTGTAATAAAACACTATTATATAATAAAACAAATATTTTTTAAGTCAATACATCGATATCATAAACTCAATATTTAATTCGTTAATATCGACGACGACGGAGATTTGAAAAATCCCATCCCCAATAATAATAATTGCACATGTCACTCACCTGCCAAAAGTGTATTCGCTTTCGGCTCTGAAAAAGTAGACGTGATTCTTGAATTGCAACTTAAAAACGAAGTCTTTTTCGATAGAATCGTCCTCATTGGGTTTTGAAACGCTGTAACCGAGCAGAGGCAGACTGGCCAAGGGCAAGTCATCTTGGAACGACTTGTAGAAGAACAGGCAGAAATTGGTGAACACGACCCACAGCTTTTGCCAGCCATTGCTGTTTTTAAACTTGCGCAACAGAAAACCGCTTAACTGGTTCTGTAGGGCAAACACCACAATGGTGGTTACACGGTTAAACATTTAAAAATATTAAAGGATTTTTGTTGAATTATGTTTAAACAGAAATATAACTGTTTAAATTCAAAACGATTTAAACAGAAATATAACTGTTTAAATTCAAAACGATTTAAAACGTGATATATATGTACAACGCTATGAACATTATTTGTCGGTACTCACCTCGGTGGCCCGAAGATGGTCAGCCATGCCGATGCTCGTGTTCCGATGCCAGCAAACGTGAACGGTTGTGTTGTTCCTCTGCGCGGCACCCGGCGCTTTGCCTCCGTTAATTTCGGACAGAGCGCCGTTGCAGTCACCGTTGTTGCTCATCATGTCGTCTGAGGAACCTAAATCCAGATATCGGATTAGAAATTAAAATAAACTCGTGTTGAATGTAACGGGGTAGCGAACACGAAACACAACAAAGTGGAAGTGAAAAAGGTTTGATTTTAAAATGATAATTTTATTTAAAAATACTCTTTATCCTGTGGAGGAACAAGTAACAAAAATATTAAAATTTAACACTAGTGATAATTTGAAATAACTTATGAGAAACTTTGTAGTTTCTTAACAAAGCAAAATTTGTTTATCAACAATAAGAAGGTAATAAAAGAAATACTAAAAAAAAAAATGTTTATAACGTCAAAATATTTTGAATTTTATACGGTTATTCCTTTTTGAATTACAATTAAATAAGGAAATCGATTTTGTTGCAACATTTTTGAGTAAAAATTCCAGTTATTTTTTATAATTTTTTTTTTTGTTCTTCCAAATTATTAAAAAGTGCTGGGAATTTTTTACTTTTGATCCTCCAAAGTAGCAACTAGATGTCTAGATTCACTTTTCTATTAAAAAGATATTTAAGATAGACATCGAAACATCTTCCACTATAAAACACATGACATAGAAAAGAACATCATAGTAAAATCAATACATTCTTCACTTTGATCAAAATCTTAAAGGTATTTAAGTCTATAATTAGAGCGTCTATACAATTCAGCTCTACTTTAATGATGAAGATTTGTATTAAACATATGCAAATATTTACAAAATACAAGATATTTCAACTGGCAAAATTAATAATAATATAGTATGTAAATGAAAAGCAAGATTATCTTACTGCATGATTTCAAACTCAAATAAATATTTGGTGGCTCGATATTTGCCTGTTCTCCTTTGTATGCTTGAACGCTTTCTGCAATGTCTTCCAACCATTTATCTTTTTCCTCCTGACTGTTCGCCGCAATTGTGATTACTCTGGAAACAATTACATATTATTGACATTGAATCAATTGTTTAAAGACCACAAACAAGCCAAATGCACACATATACAATAAATAGTAATATACTATATAACGTTTTAATTTTTAAAAAAACGTATTCGGCGACTAATTTTCGCAATAATTTCCTCATACCTGTTATTTGAATAGATTGAAAAAGAATATTGTGTTGGGTTGTCGGTTCGTTCTTCAACAAAGAGGTCGTTGAGGGGTATCTGACCATGGACGCGAAACATGTGGCCAACCCTTGCCGTGTATAACAACATATCAGACATCTATATTGGCATGCACAAAAGCGCAACACTAATGTTAAGCTGAACACATATTTCTTTAAAGCTATAAGTTAAATAAAAGCTTGATTGAGACTGTGCGGCAGCATCAATGAATGGAAAGGGAGTGGTCATCACGGTGATTAGGTTTTAAACAAATATAACAATATTTTATCTTTTTGCTTTAAGAAATCAAACTATGGTTACACAAGAAGAAAAATTAAATAATATTTCCACCTGAACCAAACAACATATTATTATCACATAAATTTTTTTTTTATTAACTGAGGAGAATATTATACCCTAATGTATTCATCAATTCATTAATGTTCTTTTGTCTTAT